GTCTTCCATAAAATGTGCTGCACACATCTGAATATTTGGGTTGAAGTGTTCTGGAACAGTGTTGTAAATACAACTTAACCACTGATTTCTAGTCGTGTCCATTTTTTGGAAGGCCAAACAAAGTAGTTTCGCTTTCACAACGAAACAGCGTCACACACCGCGGCCTACAGTGAGCTGAGGCCGGGGGATAAAGTGAGGAATGGCGTGAGGGTTAGAGTGAGCAGAGGCGCGGGCTTGAGAACAGCGCGGCCAGCGATTTCAACGAAGGAGCGTCCGGAAGGACATGTGACTACTCCGGGCTGGACTCCGCTTCGTCCACGGTGAAAGCCGATCCGGCGATCCACAGCGCACTTTGCAACTTTACAGATCTTCTTTATGCACCAAGAGCTTGTAACACTCCAAAGAGAAAGGAAAAATTGAAATCGCATCATATGACCCCTTTAAGGATAAGACCATAACTGTGGAATTATTCTGTATAGAACTGGTCTAGAAACAGATCCAGACTCGAATGTGTTTTTTCTAAGGAACATAGAATATATAGTCAGAGAGTGAAACTGAATTTCATTGACAGGGCCCATGGCAGGAATAATGTCCTTCAGTTAAGTAGGGTGTATGTGTGCAAGTAGCACTTACTCTTGAATTTCCAAGCAATGTTCTCATTACCATGCCAACTTGATCCAGCTTCACAGTGACTTGTAAACTCCACTCTCTGCCAAACTCTCTCTATTTGACCTATTTCCATAATTTACATTCTTAAACAGTGCAGCTTTGAGCTTGGAGAATCATTTAAGAGCTGTGATCAAGCACATACGTACTAGCACGCTTAGAGAAGGGTTTTTTTTTCTTTTTCCCAGCGTGTCAGCAGCAGGGCTCTCAGGGCTTTTTTTTTTTTTTTCTGACACTGCATAGACAGCAACGCAACTGAAATGTTCCCAAGTCCAGAAACGTAGCAAGGATATCTGTAAAATAATCCATGCGACATCAGTAGTTCATTCGCAATTATACAAAGCTACGAGAATACTTTTTGTGCGCAAAAGAAAAAAAAATAACGACTTTATTCAACAATTCGTCTCCTCCGCATCACCCTGGTGCCATTTTAGAGAATATCCGCTGGACGTAAACAATGTATGCTATTCTGTGTCAGCTGTGTCACGCGGATATGTTGTTTTCATTCAAATCAAAGCGCAAACAACTTGGGAACTTGGACTTGGGAACATTTCAGCTGAGTTGCTGTCTATGCAGGGTCAGACAGCTCTCAGATTCCATCAAAAATATATTAATTTGTGTTCCGAAGATGAACGAAGGTCTTACGGGTTTGAAACGACATGAGGGTGAGTAATTAATGACAGAATTTTCATTTTTGTGTGAACTAACCCTTTAAGCTCATGTCTGAAAGCACAACAAATAGGTTACCCCTCTATAGGGGTCCAGCTATTGTTATTATTGTTCAAGATTAATTAAACATTGATAAGCTGCTCTCAACCTTTCTCAGGCCAGTCTTGGATGGCCCAGAGAGACAGACTGGGGCTGAACTGACCTATTTCTAGACTTAACAGCTTTAAAACACCAACACCATCCCCGAACCTCTCTCTTGTTGCCATGGAGACACCTCCAGTCTAATGTAGAAAAAAAAGAAGTGAGGAGAGGGGGGAAAGAGAGAGAGACGGGCACGCAGAGCTCGCTTATCCCCCTCACTATGACAGCAGGACCCCCACAGAATGTTGTCAGTTTTAAGAAAAAAAAACCTCTGCAAAGACACATATTTACCTGTCAGAGATGAAATATGGATTGAAACTGCGTGTGCCATTAGTGCGGTTATATTTAGATATTGTTTTGATTTGCTGCGATCTGCCGGATTAACCCGCAGCTAGAATACACTTTTAATACCCGTGCATTGTGTTATGGGGCTCAATTATTTAAGCCCTGTTATTTAACAGTCTTTGATGTCAGACAATAACTCAGTGGTTAGATGAGTTGGGGTTTTTGGGAAGTGACAAAACAGCATTTTTGTGTGTCTGATGCTTTTATATTCACTTTTTTACCAGAAGCAAGAATGATTTGGTGCTCTTGCAAAGCTGTATTTAAATGTCATCATGTCAAAGTTTAGATAAGAGGGTGATAACTGTGCCAGTTTGAACCTCGACATCGAGAAACCCACAACATTTCCTGTGATTCTACATCTGACAAATCCTAGATAACCCGCTTGGGTCACGCCGCAAGATCTGAATGTTACTCCACGGCAGTCTCCCAGCAAAATACCAAAAGGTTTTTAGGTTTGTCACCACAAGGTGTGCTGGATTCGATAAGCAGTCGCCTCCTGCAGATCAAAACCACAGCTAAATGAAGTAGCGTGGTCTTCATAAACTCATAGGTCTGGGTCAAGAATACACAAGCTTTGATGGGAATGGCTTAAATCTAGGGCTGGGCGATAAAACGATAATGATAATTATTGGTATTGTGGCATAAATGTGGGATATTTATATTCATATATTATAATATTATATATATGTAGACTACTGTTTTTCATACAAATACCTAGAAACCATATAGTTAAATTTTTACCATTGTATTTAGATGCTATGTGTGTGATTTTAACTGTGGTTATCATGATCTAAATGTATGCTACTTTGGAAGACCAATGGTTAAAGGTAAAACTCAAACGGTCAGAATATTTAAATTTCACCATATGAAAATGAGGTTGTTACAATTTTACAGATGTTACTGTTTTAAAAAAAAAGAACACAAATTTACATCTGCCTCATAACTCAAGCTACTGTCAACTTTGTATTTCTAAGAGATAAAAAACGTAACATTATTAATATTGCAGTCTGCACTGCAAACTGTGCTGCAGATACAGTAGGGGTCAGAGTCAGGCAACACAAACCTTTTTCAAGATTTGAAACAATATCACTCATCAGAACATGAAAGCGTGAAGTGTTTGAAATGTTCTGACCATAGTTTAAACCCAGTTAACAGCCTGGTTTCTACAGTTTTCACGTAGTAGCAAAGATCTGCCTTTAAACTTGAAAGTAACAAAGCTGTGATTGGCCATCTCACCCAGCCCTACTTAAATCTATGACAAACGCATCATTTATCTACCACAGGCACACAGCCCAAGCTGCAGATTATATGTAATTACACTGAGATTCAAAATTCCCACCACCTCCAAATAATTTGATCACTGCTGTGATTGTTTTTTTGTTATAAAATAGTTTTCAGAACATTCTCAGTGGCCGAGCGATTTCTTTCGAGTGTAACAGACAGAATCAGCGTAATGGATAATGTGATGTAAATACTAATTCCCTCGGTTTCTTGTCCTCTAGATGCCAGTCTCACTCAGACAGCAATCAACAAAGCCGTTGCAACCTGAATATGCAAATGATGCTCTCCGCCCATTCCAAAGGAAAGATGGGCTACACTGACGTTCCGTGCACTCGTCTTGACCAGGGAACGACCTTTCCTCCCCCTTCTTTCCGAGCCCACTCCGTACCTATTATCCCCTCCGTTCAGGGACCTGATTTTGGGGAGGGGGGCGGGAACAAGCTGCATAATGGGGGTAGGGGATCTTCCAGCTACAACCTAATCAATCCTGAGTCTGAGGCGGAGTCAGTGGCAAATTCCAGCCGCTCACTTGCCAGCTCCTCTGTGGCGGTGCAGGATCCACAGACACTCACCTGCTCCGAGTCTGCACTGATGTCAAGGGGCCAAATCAAACACAAAAGCCTTGTTACCTACACAACAGCCTTGGGATCAGGCACAAGCTCCAGAAGAGCAAAGACTGTCATTTCTATGACCGTACTGGGATCAGGGGCAAAAACCACACAGTACGCCGCCAGCCTGCTGTCTAAGGCTTCCAGAGGACAGGAGGGCCGCTCTGCTTTCGGGGAAGGACAGCAGGATGACGGTTTACAAACCCCGTTTGTGGGGGGTGAAAAAGACAGCTCTTTTTCTGACGGGGTTAGAGGTGTGGCCTGCCTCACATATCCCAAAAGCTGATTGGATAAACGCAAAGATTGCTTTGGAAACTCCACGTCTGTGTGGATGGGGCTGGAATGTCCCCGCTAGTGCAAGACACTTACTTTTGGAACTATTTTACTGCATTGTGAAGTACAACTACTGACAACCCAATTTAAAACTCTGACTTCCTGATGACACAATGTGAATAGATGCGAGAGAACGAAGACTTTGGTGGGATGTTGATCTAAAGAGGTATTGGAGAGGATTTATATGCCAATATTTAACAAAAAGCTTCAATTTAGAAACCAAATAGTGTGTCATCTCAATGTTGTTTCTCTACTGTAAAGAAAAAAATATATAATAGATGTCAAAACTATATGTATGTCATATATTCCATGTATATGACATACCGAGTGACGAAAATAAAGATGCAAAACATGGTAATGCAGAACCTTTTTTTCCAATAACTGCTGTTCTATAATCTCAGCCCAGCTCTGTATTTTTGTCTGTTTTGCTTGAGGTCTTGAGAAGAAAAACGGTTTCTGAATAAAATCTGAATGTCACCCTGTCATTTGATCAGAGAGTATCTGCCCGTAACCGTGCGATCGATGAAGTGCATCTCACACCTTCTGTTTTTAGCAAAAAGCTCACAGAGCGCCGCAGCCAGGTATCTACAACCATCACCTGAAACGATCCAACGAACGTGCTGAATGGAGAGAAACCGGCAGAATCACCGGCTGTCTCCATGGCAACAGAGATCGGCAGAGTCGGATGCGGCAGCCTCTCTATCCAACGAGACCATCAACGGATTTAATCATTTACTTGTTTATCTCCTCTGAAAGTAGCTCTTGCTAATTAAGCCCAGACTCATTATTTTGCATCAGCTATTTTGAAACCGCAAAAGGGGAGGAAAAAAAGTTTCCTTAACTAGCTCGGTTTTTTTTTCAGGTGAGGGTGGAATTAATCAGCAGAAAGATTAAAGCACAGTGTCATTGATGTCTCTCGTCGTGTTTACCTCAAACGAGGGCAACACGAGCGAGTCGCACCCAGAACACTTTATGAATTATCGGGCTAATTTTCTGAGCGTGAGTCTCAGCGTGATGTGACATTATAATCCAAATAAGAAAATTAAAAAAATTAAAAAACGCACCCGCTGGCAGGCTGCGCCAACAGTCTCTTCCGACCGAGCCCCACAGAAGCAACATTTGGCAATTTTTTAAATTAATTTGCAGACAAACATATTTGTTTTGCTCTCATGCACCGTGTCTCTCCGCAGATCTAGTGTGAGCCATTGGCTTTGAAACTCATAATGGGTGATCCTTTCATTTTGTGAGAACATTAAACATGTTCATCCAACAGCTTAATATTCAATCTCAAGTCAATCTTTGATCCGAGGGGAGGCAGCCATGAAAACACTGATGTAATGTACAAAGAGCCAGAGTCCTGTGTGCATGTCTTGGGTTTGTTTTTTGTTTTTTTGGTAGAACGCCGCATCCCTGTGCTATTGCATCTGTTTGAGGAGCAGGCCCATTTCTCCTCTATGCTGATATATTAATAAAGGCAGGATGTTTCTTGAGGCAGGCTGCTAACATTAAAGAGAGTACAACTGCACAGCACAACAGATGCTTGTGGAAAATGAGTGCCGAGCTGAACACAATGCGCGGAGAACGTAGACGCAATGAGGGCAGTGGCAAGAAGTGAAATGTATCTGTCACCTGGAATGAGCTGCAGTGACTTCAAAATGACTCTTTTCGCAGCAATGTACCTTTGGTTTAATTTGTCTAAAGTGTTATAGATGGTTCGCACTGGGCCAGAATACAATTTGTTAGTAAAATGTGTAATTTTGTAATAACTGCGAAGGAAAACTTTTTCACAATTCAACTCACAGCCCAAACCAAAACTGAAGGCGCTTTCTGATGGATGACTAGCTTTTTCATTATTCAATAGATAAAAGATAATGAATAATGAGTGCATTCAACGATACGGTAGATAAACAGATTGCTTATTTTAAATAGCTTTGGTTTGAATGTGAAGGATGTGAAGAACTTCTCATGTTTAATAACAAAACGCATTTTCTATTACAAATGGGATGCTTAAGCAATATCACACTTGCAAATCAGTGCAATCTATGTGAAATGGAAGTCATTTGCACATATCCTGCATAGAAAAAGGTCTGCATTTTTATCATGAAAAATGTGTTACGAAATTGCCTGTTTCATTGGTTTGATTATTGCTGGACATGTTAACCCAGGCATCATTTATATTAAATTCATATGCATTCAGTAGTTCTTTAGCTGGCGTTAGAATCAACGTTCTTCGCCATTGTGGTATCTGTACTTTAAGTACACAAAGAAGTACTTTAAAGAAGTAGAAGTTATTTTTGTACTTGAAGTACGAATACCACAAGGGTAAAGAAGACTGACTGATAGCTAAAGAACTACTGAATGCACCTGAATTTAATATAAATGATGCCTTGATTAACATGATCAGCAATCCAACCAGTAAAATTTATGTAAATTATACTGATACTAGTGACTTTTAGAGAGCAGTCTATATTTTAATTTTTCATTTAGGTTAAGTTGATTTACTAAAATAACTAAAATAGCTAGATAGACATTTAAAAACCTGACTGTTACATTCTGAGCTAGGGCTGCACGATTATGACAAAAATCATAATTGTCGATTATTCCTTTGAAATTGTAATTGCGATTATTAATTTGCGATTAAATGAATGATGTTTACACCTTTGTTTGAAGCAACTGCATGCCATATTTTTATATGAAAATAATCAAGCTGAAAACACTAACTGAAAACCTTTTATTGCTTTTCTATAGTATTAAGCCTCAAATGTCAACTATACATCGGATTGGTTTCTCTTTAAATAAAAAGGTAAAAATATGCATGGTATTATAATGTTATACTAAAACTAAAATTAAAACAATGGAAAAACCCTTAAGATAACATGTAGAAAGAAAAGGGAAAAAAAGCATCTTAAGCATGCAGAATAACATAAGTGGACTTTGAGCGATTAATTGCTGCTTTGAACGATTATGTAATTGTGGCATCCGTAATTGTAATTGCGATTAGAAATTCGATTAATTGTGCAGCCCTAGCTTTAAGATTATTTCCGGTACACATCATTTTAACATGGTGAAATACAATAGGAAGGGTTACCTGCATCATACATACTGTAATTTAACATTTTTTACAATCTTCTTCTGATGTGTGTGTACACCATTCAGATGACTCTTTACAAAAACATCTCTCTTAACGTGTAAAATGTGTTAAATGAGCACAAAAGTACTAAATTGCCCCTTTAGTTTGGCAGTGAAGTGAAACTATACATCGTTAACATTCAGCATTGAGGCTTAATATTACAAAGGACCCTTCATAAAGCAGATGAAAGGCATATATGATCACAATAGACTAACTCTGAATGCTTCCCAAGTGAGACATGCTTTGTGATGTGAAGTTGACAATGAGGTTGATTACATTCAAAAGGAACTTACGATTCTCTGTGATTAACCACATCCTGGATCATTAAAACATTCAATATACTTCACCATAAATCTAGTGCTGCTGTTTACAAAAGTGAACATTTCATATTTGTTGTTCTTGTTTAAGGCAAGTGACACCCATGCAGTGTAGTACCAAATGATATAAGACACTTCTTATGTGTGCCTAACACACAAACCCATTTTGTTCTGCGTCTGAACATAATGTATAAAAGGTCTCCATAAAATTACTTCATATCACGGAGTTGATTAAAAATTGTTCCGGTGAGAATACTAAAAGTATGTGATAGATAAAATATTCAAATATTCAAATGTATTTCATGGTAAATGCAACCCATTAAATTGGATTTTCACAATGAAATTCCCATGAATAGACCGTTTTCAATAAACCAGGATTAGTGACATGTGACATAAAGCTTAGGCTGTCAATATCATAATGAGATACATATGATTTAAAAATGGTTTACTGTAAGCCTTTCCTCTGGCAACACAGAATTAATAAACAACAGGTGCAACTAGTTTGTTAAATCTGTGTTACTCTCCATTCCCAAACTGATTTTTCTACTTTGTGCCACACCTTGCGCCAACTACACCCATACAGTGATGGATGCTTCGCTGACCACCTCCTGCATCGCTTCAGCTGACAAATATGACAATTAATAACACATTAACTCATCTATTAAATAAACATGACTATTACTAAACATATGTAACTAGTTTTGCATATGCACATGTATTTAAATCTGTGCCTGAGGAGTTGAGGTCCACCTGCTGAGTTCCTCCAAAGGCTTCTTTCTCATCCCCCTAAATATCTTGCTCACTGGGGGCTTTAAGGCACTATTTTCCTGTAAAGCTGCTTTTATTGTAAAAAGCAGCATGAAAAATAAATAAAATATAAAAACTTAAGTAGCAACTGCTCTCTTAGTAACCACACACGTTTTTCCATTTCTCATGCACATATTCACATTAATATCAGATAAAAGATAAGCATTATGGGTTTTGGCTTTGTGATGCCTCTCCCCACTGATGTTGGTGTGCTTTTTGAACTCATGTACAGCAAAATTGATAAGAGCAATGAGATTATGCTTATGAGCTTAATTAGAAAGATGGTATCTAATTTCTCATGCAAATACTATGCGAGTGCAGAGAGGCTAAATAACATGTGAACCGAGTCTCAGTCGGTGTTTCAGCGAAATTAGAAGCAGAAATACACAATTATTTCTAAATTAATAGATATGATTATTTGCCAAGATTTAGGTTGTGAGAATAAAAGGCCACCATATGATTAATCTCAAATTGCAAAATAAACAAAGATGGAGCACTTGCCAAAGCACTTGAAATGGAAATAATGTTCAAATGTATGTTGAGTTAAAACAAAGGAAACAATTGATCAATGATTTAGCTAATTACATTATGCATATTTTGCCTTACTGAAAAATGCTAATTATTCTTAGAAATATATATATATTTTAATGGAATTTTAGAAATCAAAACAGATTTGTATTATTAAGTTATTTATTATTTAATTGTTAATAAATTATTTATATAAAAGCACAAAATGCGCAATACAATGACTTGCTGTCTGAACATGCTCAGCACAGTTTTACAACTGGCAACTAAAACATGGCATGAAACTGAAAGCTTGGTCTTTCCAGGTGCTGTTCTGCTGCAGCTCTACAGATAAAGTCATCTAAATATGGTTTCACAAGAACCTCTAACGCAACCAGAGGCATCACCTCTAGTTAAACCACACTGACTTCACATCTTTTAAACTAACTCATGAAACTTTCATATGGAACGAATAATCATCACAATTACATTCATTTGATCTTGGGCTCCATGCACATGCCCGCACCCTGAGGATTCTTCAAACAAGACTAACCCTAGTTTTCTTGTTCACTGGTCTAGCCCATTTATCCACTTCAGCAAGATCTTTGCAAGGAGGACAAGAAATGAGGATACAGCGTGTTGAGGGAGCTCTGCATGATCTCTGGCAAATAAACACTTCTGTAAGCTATTTTTGGTATGTGAAAAGGAAAAGAA